AACTCTGCCCTCCAGATGTTTTGGGACTACAACTCCCATCATCCCTAGCTAACAGGACCAGTGGTCAGGGATGATGGGGATTGTAGTGCCAAAACATCTGGAGGGCTGAGTTTGGGGATGGCTGATCTAGAGGCTACTGTTGTCTCCCCATGTCTGTTTTAGTGTCTTGGGTGACAAGGGGCCAAAGGCATCTACAGTATACCATTTGCCACTTGAGTGTGCCAAGTAGAAGTTGCCTGGGGTGAGCAACCAAGATGCAAAGAGATTTGTTCTCACTGGAAGCTGAGATGGATGCTGGAGTTTGCACATTCATCCTCTTAATTTGTCCCTGGCAGTGAAAGAAGAGGAACTGAGACTGGAAGCTGTCATAGACGATATTGGCTCTGTTTCCCCAAACACAGCAGGGGGTGAGGAACTACCTCATCTGTATTTAAAACACAGATGTGTGAACTTTTGCCTTCGAAAATGACAGCAGCTGCAAGCTAAGTTGCATAGCAACTCAATCTACACCAGCCAACTGCATCATGTTGAGGAAGACTTACATGGCTCCTGCTGTATAGTATCCAAAGCCAAGCACAACACAATAAGAGACCTACTGGACCGCCACCAAAGGCCCATCTAGTTCAGCATCCTGTTCTCACAGTGGCCAACCGGATGTTGGTGGGAAGCCTGCAAGCAAGACCTGGGCACAGCAAAACTCTCCTCATTTGTGACTTCCAGAAACTGGTAGAGTTGGCTCTGTGAGCTGGGAGATGAGCTTATGCACCGCAGTGAAATGGGACACACCCTTGCATTCATCATTTGCTTAATTAAGCTGACATGCTCCACCTCTTGTTGAGGGGCTCGTCCACACTTCTGCTTGACTCGTGCTTCGAAAGTACGGGTCCAATCAGTTTTCTGTTTGTCCCACATTTTCTAGGCATGGATCCAAGTGGTTCTGCCTTTGCCCGGCTGCTTTCCTGTTATGGTGATTTTATTAGTACACTGCCTATTATAATGCTCTGTATTGTTTTTCTTTGATCTGTAAAATACGTTCTTAATATTGTACACCGCCCTAGGGTATTTTGATTATAGGGTGGTATATACAGTGGTGCCTCGCAAGACGAAAAGAATCCGTTCCGCGATTCTCTTCATCTAGCGGTTTTTTCGTCTTGCGAGCTACCCTATTAGCGGCTAAGCGGATTAGCGCTATTAGCGGTTTAGCGGCTTAGCGGCTATTAAAGGCTTAGCGGCTTAGCTGCTAAAAGGCTATTAGCGGCTTAGCGGCTTAGAAAAAGGGGGGGCGGGGAAAAAATCGCAAGATGTTTCCATCTTGCGAAGCAAGCCATAGGGAAACATCGTCTTGTGAAGCAACTCAAACGGAAAACCCTTTCGTCTAGCGGGTTTTTCGTCTTGCGAGGCATTCGTCTTGCGGGGCACCACTGTATATCTAAATGATGATGATACCCCTTAAAAAAACACCACTCTTTAGTGCTAAATCAGAACAAACAGCAATCTGTGAAGAACCTGATTGCCGTTTGTTCTGAATCCGTGCTAAACCACAGGTTTTCCTAGGGGAAAGTTGTAGGGTAAACGGATGGGTGGTTATACCCAAAGTGAAATGATATTACATTTGAAAGGCTATTGACATGCATTGGGAATTCTGTAGGGGGTGCAACTTGGAGTAGAAAAAGAGGAATGGGAGAAGGATCGAGGGCACACAGTCATGCATAGACACATACCACATCTCTGCCAGTGACAGACTTTGGGCTTTCAAATTTCAGTGGCGTCCTGTGCAGCACCAAAATTTGGCACCCCCTTGCCTTCCATTCTAACTCATTGTTGCAGCTCCCCCTGCAGCAACCTCTCTGCCTGGCGCCTAGTGTGGGTGAACCAGTCTTGCTCCCCTAAATCCGCCTCTGTCTCTGCTCCAGATTCTCCCCCTCCAACTTTCTGTACTTTATTTAAGAAAAATGGTAGGTGCTCCTATACATACACTCTGTGCAACATATAGAGTATGTTTTTTTCCTAGGGTTGTGTCATATTCCCTCCCCTCCAGCCAGATTTTCTTTTGGAGGATGAATTTTACATGCAATGAACGTTTCCATTTTTCTAATATACAGGAACTTGCAGCACAACAGGCAAAGAATGGAAAGTACTAGAACAGGGGTCAGCAAACCTTTTCAGCAGGGGGCCGGTCCACTGTCCCTCAGACCTTGTGGGGGGCTGAACTATATATTTTTTTTGGGGGGTGAACGAATTCCTATGCCCCACAAATAAGCCAGAGATGCATTTTAAATAAAAGGACACATTCTACTCATGTAAAAACACGCTGATTCCCGGACCGCCCGCAGGCCGGATTTAGAAGGTGATTGGGCCAGATCCAGCCCCCGGGCCTTAGTTTGCCTACCCATGTACTAGAAAGTTTCAGTAAGCAAAGCCAAGATCAAAACAAGGAGACCCCCCAACTACATAAACTCACTGCAGCTATCTACACAGTAGAGACTTAAAATGAAACATGATTGCCACCCCCACCCAGCCACCCACCTGGGGCTGCATTTCAGGTCACATTTGCATGTTGCAAATGTTGCAACCCATCAAAGAGGGAGGGGAATGTCTTCACCCAATGCATACTACCTGTTGGTTGCAAACCACTCCCAACAATTCCTATTCAGAAGGCTGTCATCTGCACATGTCAACCAGCTATCTCAAATGTGCACACCTCAGCTTAACTGCAAAGTGACCTGGTTTGAGGGAAAACACATCAAACCCCAGTATTTCTCAAGGAAGTCCAGGATAGATGTGGATTGTGGCCAATGTCATGTGTACACAGCTTCAAACACCAGTGGTGAGAGCCAGCAGCGTAGCATGGGTTGTCAGCACCCGGGGCAAGGCAAGTAATTTGCGCCCCCTAACCCCTAACCTGCCGCCACTGCCAGCTTCTTCTTCCTGCTGCCTGGGCTGGGGTATTTACGGTAAGGTAGCCACGGCAGCGGCAGCGGGTCCGTGTCAGGTGATCTGAGGCGAGTTGCCGCTGCCGCCCAAACGACGCCGCTTGCCCAGAGGAGGAGGAGGGCAGACAGGCGAGGAAAATGCAACATGGCCCAGCAGCTGCAGCGGCGGCGGCGGAGGCGGGGCTGTGAGGAGGGGCTGCCTGGCGCGCCCTCCGTGGCCCTGACGCGCGGGGACCGCGGCGAGCGCTGAGAGCCGCTGCCAGCTCGTCGGTTCCGCGAGACATGGGGCTCTGCTAGAGCCTGTGCCCAAGGCTCTTCGGCGACTCCGGAGGCAGCGAGCGCGCCCCCCCCCAGATGTTGCGCCCAGTGCGGCCGGCCCCCCCTGCACCCCCCACGCTACGCCACTGGTGAGAGCACACTGGAGCCACAGTAATGATAATGAGCACACAGCTTGCGCCTTCAGCTGTGACACCAGATATGGTTCCTCCCCATCCCTCATTCCTACTCTTGTACTAACTCCCTTTCACAGTCTTGGCTGCGCTTTTAACTCCCTGAATCCAGGAGCTATTTACACTGCACAGCACCTACCATGGCAATCACACTCATAATGCTTCCAGGTATTCATTTATATCAACGCTGGAGGCTAAGTCGACATGGGAAGCAGGATCAGATGCCCCCAATCCATCTTTTCACCTGCTCCTGTGTAATCCATTCTCCTAGACCACGCATATAGCAAAAGCAGACAGGCTGGCAGCTTCCCCATTGTTAGCTAGACAAATTTGGGACCCCCAACCTTCATGGGCTGGGAGCATTTGGGTCCTGATCTTTCTGAACATAAATATTCAGAGGTCAGGAGGAAAATCCTGCAATTTCTGCATGTGGGACAACTTCCTACCATTCCATTATCTCTGTGGAAAGAGAAACAAATGAAGGAGCCCTACACACACACAGCATCATGTCTGAAAACTGCAGGACCAAAAAGAAAAATTGTGGGAACTGACAATGAAAGAAAGTACAGCAGAGGATCTGAGGAAGCTGCCTTATCCCAAGTCAGGTCATGAGTCCATTTAGATCAGTATGGTCTACATGGACTGACAGTGGCTTTCGTGGGATTAAACCAAAAACCTTCTGCACGCAAAGCATGTTTTACCATACAGTCACAGCCCTTCCTTCAAGTGTGCAGCTCTTTGAAATGCTGCAGTGGAGATTTAGCATAGGAAGCTTCCTTATACCCACTCAGATCACTTGTCCCCATAGCTCCAGGCTGTCTACTCTGACTGCTTTCCAGCAGAGTTTCCCTGTCACCTGACACCTGACTTCTTTAACGGGAAGAAATGCTAGATTAAATTTGATACCTTCTTCAAGGAAAGCATAAACTCTGAGGCAAGGGTGAGGAACCTTTGGCCCACCAGATTTCCATGCAACTCCCATCACCCCCGGCCATTGGTCCTGCTTGCTAGAGCCGATGGGAGTTGTAGTCCAACAACATCTGGAGGTCCAAAGGTTCTCTACACCTGCTACACCTGTAAGTCTTAAGAGTCTAAGCTCTGAGTAATCAGTCCATGATGCAGCCAGTCTCAGTATGATGGGTGCAATCCAAAATGCGCTAATTAAGGAGCAAGCCTCATTGAACATACCAGGACTTACTACCAAGTAAACATGCAATTCCTTTTCAGTCCCCTCCCACACCACCCTGTGGCACACTGTTGGAAAACAAGAGGAGTACAATATTTAGCCCTCCCCCAATTGCTATAGACCAGTGGTGGCCAAACTTTGCCCTCCAGCTGTTTTGGGACTACAATTCCCATCATCCCTGACCACTGGTGCTGTTAGCTAGGGATGATGGGAGTTGTAGTCCCAAAACAGCTGGAGGGCACAGTTTGGCCATCCCTGCTATAGACCAAATGTTATGGGCTACAACTCCCATCAGCCCCTGCCAGTATGGCCAATGGGCTGGGCTGATGGGAGTTGTAGTCCAACAGCGTCTGGTGGACACTAGGTGGAGGAACCTTACATCTTCAAGACACCCCTCCCTCCGCAACCCACGGACACATTCCTGACACCTACTCTTCCAGCTGCGGGCACAAAGTGATCTGCGTGCCTTGAAGCTGGGCTTCCCGCAGGGGGCGCTGCGCGCAGCCGTGCCCATTGCTGGCGAGGTACAAGAGCTTCGTTTCGCCAGTCCGGCTGCTGGAGCGGCTGCTGGCGCTGCTGGAGCCCACGTCCTCCTCCTCCTCGTCCTCGTCCTCTCTGGCTCCCTTGGCGATGGGCTCGCCCTCCTTCTCGGACGGGGCCCGGGGGCTGAAGGCGCAGGGGCAGCGGCGCAGGTCCTTGGAGACGGCGTGGAGGCGGCGATCGGCGCTCCTGGGGCAGCACAGGAGCTTCTTGAAGGCGCACCTGAAGTCGGGGCTGCGGCAGTAGATGATGGGGTTGAAGGCCGAGTTGGCGTAGCCCAGCCAGTTGAAGAAGCGGAAGAGCTGGTCGGGGATGAGCGTCCTGGCGAAGACCTTGAGGATGTTGGCCACGAAGAAGGGCAGCCAGCAGAGGGTGAAGATTCCCATGATGAGGCCCAAGGTCTTGAGCGCCTTGTGCTCCTTGATGGCCAGCAGGAGCCGGGAGGGTCTCCGGCGACGGGAGCCCTTGGCGGCGTCGTGGAGGAACCTGCCCTTGTCCTTCTCGATGGCGTGCAGCTGGCGGGTGGCCACGGCGAAGACCCTCGCGTAGACGAAGAGCATGACCAGCAGCGGCACGTAGAAGGAGATGATGGAGGACAGGATGGCGTAGGGCATGTTGGTGACGAAGTCGCAGCACTGCGGGTCCTCGTAGCAGCGCAGCGCCTCCTCGTCCGCGCCGTCGCGCCACCAGTGGTTCATGATGGGCAGGAAGGAGATGAAGGCGGCCACGGCCCACACCAGGCACACCACGCCGCGCGCGCGGCCCTTGGTCACCAGCGCCTCGTACTGCAGCGGCGCCGTCACGGCCAGGTAGCGGTCCACGGCGATGGCGCACAGGGTCTCGATGCTGGCCGTCACGCACAGCACGTCTAGGGACGTCCACAGCTCGCAGCCCGTGGTGCCGAAGGGCCAGCGGCCGCTCAGCACCAGCGTGGCGCCCGGGGGCACCACCAGCAAGCCCATGATGAGGTCGGCGCACGCCAGCGACGTGATGAACACGTTGGTCATGGTCTGCAGGCGCGGCGTCTTGGCGATGGCCACCACCACCAGCAGGTTGCCCGCCACCGTCACCAGCACGGCCAGGCTGAGAGCGGCGCCCAACGCCCCCTGCCGGCCCAGGCTGCCCGCCGCCCCGGAGCAGTTGCTGCCGTTGCCCGACGGCGCCGCGCCCGCTGCCCCCAGCCACGTCCCGTTGGGCGGCCAAGGAGGAGCCATCGCGGCTAAGACGGCGACGGGAGCCAAGCTCGGCGCGCCTAGCTGCAGGCAGCTCCTCGACGGCTTTAGTTCGACGGGCCCGCGCTCCGCCACTGTCGCGCAGGGAGAGCGGGCTCCGCGCGCGTCGGACACTGGTGGCCCGCTGCTTCTGGCTCGGCAGCCCAGCCCATGCTCCTGGGGAGACGGAAGGCGCCTCGGCAGGGACGGCTCCCTCCCCTTCGGTGGGGATTGCGGAGAGGAGGAGTCCTTAAAGGCGCAGGGAGCCTGGAGGGAGAGACGGGACACGCCCCGGGCACAGCTCTCCTGCATCTCCGCCCTACCCCACCCCGAGCCTGCTGCGGGAAGGCGAGCGAGCGGCGCTGACGTCTAACAGGGTGGTGTTTCTTTTACAAAGCCGCCTCTCCCACTGCAGAGATCGGCCCGCACCCCAGTACTTTTCAAATTTAAGTTGCACTGATATAGCTGCAACGCGTTGCCCCACGTGCGAAGAAATTGCATTTCCCTCGCATTACTCTAGGGCTCTTCTCGGCATTGATAGTGCTTTACAAACCCTCTAGAATTCAGGAATGGGCAGGGAAGCAGATTTTTTGCTCTCTCAGGGTTGTTGGACTACACGCTCCCGTCATCCCTGACCACTGGACGTGCTGGCTGGCGCTAATGGGAGTTCAACAGCCTCTGGAGTGCCGCAGATTTCCCATCTTGGCTGCTCCTTATAAGACTCGCGCCTTATAAGACTCGTGGGCTGCAGACCCCTGGAAGGATGGCGCTGGGGCCGGTGGCTGTGTGTCGGCCAGCTATAGTCCTATACATCCTCCTACTTTAAAGCAAACGGATTGATACCCCAGTTTCTCGTTCTCCCCGCCCGCCCCACGGAATCGCTTCCTCGGGATCACCCCTTCCGGGGCTTCGGAGCAGAGCCGCTTTTCACTGTCCGCTTTTGTCACCTCCGGCCTTTCCCAGCACGACATCGCATTTTAGCGCAAACAAAGCAAAAAGCAGAGGGGTGGGGACTCCCTGTGAGAAACAGACGGACCCCCGGGTACCACCGACGGTCGGAGTGATGGCGAGGCTGGTGGGCGCTGGTGGGTAGCGGAGCGAACCAAGTGTGTCCCCAGAGGCCGAGCGTGGAACTGCGGCATTTCACGAATGACGCGCGAGTGGAAACAGAAAAGAGAACTGTGCGCATTCACCTCAGCCCAGTGGTAGAGTGAGATAACAGAGAGGCAGCAATGCCAGGCTACTGTCGGGGATGCTGTAATTCAAATCCTCGCTCAGTTTCTGACTTTGGGACTGTCTCTCTCCCAGTCAAACCCACCTCCCAGAGTTGTAATCTGTGCGCATCCAATATGAAAATGAAGGTCTACCAGGCTTGCTGCTTTATGGAAGTGAGCCGTGCACAACTTAACATCCACCTGTCAGGAAGATTTTGGGCATCACATGGCAGAGCAGAGTCTTCAACAAAGATGTGCTCTCCCATGCCCACATTCTCAGCATGTACACACTCCTGTCTCAACAACCTCTGTGCTGGCTCTGCATGGAAGATGGAAGGATCCCCCAGGCTGGGGAGCTGGCTTCAGGCAATGATGGGAGTTGTAGTCCAACAACATCTGGGACCCAAGGTTGAAAAAGGCTTGCATAGACACTCTGGGTGGGTGTGCCTGCCCACGTCTGCTACCCTCTTCAAGTTACCGTATTTTTTGCTCTGTAAGACACACCTGACCATAAGACGCACCTAGTTTTTAGAGGAGGAAAACAAGAAAAGCCAGCAAAAGCCGCAGACACGCTCGCTCGGCGCAGCTCTTTAAAGATAGAGCGGCTCTTGCTGGCTTTTCCTGGAGGTGGGAGAAGGGACAGACGGGCTGCCCTCCGTCCTTTCTCCCACCTCCCTGAAAAGCCAGAGCAAGCTGTGCAGCTATCGCTGAAGCCAGCAGAACAAGAGGCACTGCACAGCTCTCGCTCTTGCTCTTCTGGCTTCAACAATAGCTGCACAGCCTGCATTTGCTCCATAAGATGCACACACATTTTGTGGGAATGTTCTGGGGTGCAGGAAAGGATATATTGACTAATTATATCCTGATCCAACTTGTGCTAACAAGTTCCCAAAATATCAGCAGAGTTTACATACATTCCCCTTTAGTACGCAACGGTAACGTGTGCACAGGTTCGCTAGAACCTCTATAATAATTACCCTGGTAATTTCCCCTTTAGTTCCCTCTTAAAATACAAGACACGACACAGTCTTCATAAAAGTATAAAAGAGTTTACTCACGTCCTGTTCACAATGTGATCCCAGACGGCAGACAGGCTTAAAAAGGTTACATAGATTTAGAATCTATCTCATAGCAAGATAGGCCTTATCTCCTCTCTTGGCTGGGAGCCAAGAGGGCATCCTTAGGTGTTTCCTCGTCGAAGGAAAATGGCAGAGAGAGAGAGATGGCTGCCTGCCCTGTGCTTTTTGTCATCACCTGCACAGGTGAGGCTACACCCACCTCTGGTCACATGTGGAGGAAGTCCGTCCCCAGGAAGTTTACCTGCTTGCTGGAGAGACATCCCCCCCATGTTCTAAACATGTACACTCTAGGAATGTTGTCATTGACTGCTCCTGTGTTTACATCCCACACATTTCCCCTTACTTTTTAGGAAGAAAAAAAGTGTGTCTTATGGAGCGAAAAATATGGTAACTTCCGTTTCCAGGGCCCACCCCATGAAATCTCAGGGTCTGGAATGCTCCTGACCTGACACCCTAATCAGCACAGTAAACATAATAAAATAATAATAATAATAATAATAATAATAATAGTAATAATAATTTATTTGTACCACACCCTCCCTGGCCGGAGCCAGGCTCAGAGCGCCTAACATCATGTAAATAATACAATATGCATAAAAACATGCACCAACAGAACCAATCTGCCTCTCCTGCTGATGTGCTTGCACCACAGTGATGTCCCTTGCTACAACACCCTTTACTTGCCACGTAAACAACAGCAACCCACCTGCTGACAAACTAGCAGAGCAGCTCCGCCCCACCTGGTGAACTGCTTCTGCCACACAGATTTGCCTTCCTCTTTGATTTCCATCAGGAACGCCGGTGGCGCTGTGGGTAAAACCTCAGCGCCTAGGACTTGCTGATCGCATGGTCGGCGGTTCGAATCCTCACGGCGGGGTGCGCTCCCGTCGTTTGGTCCCAGCGCCTGCCAACCTAGCAGTTTGAAAGCACCTCCGGGTGCAAGTAGATAAATAGGGACCGCTTACCAGCGGGAAGGTAAACGGCGTTCCGTGTGCTGCGCTGGCTCGCCAGATGCAGCTTGTCACGCTGGCCACGTGACCCGGAAGTGTCTGCGGACAGCGCTGGCTCCCGGCCTATAGAGTGAGATGAGCGCACAACCCTAGAGTCTGGCAAGACTGGCCCGTACGGGCAGGGGTACCTTTACCTTTATCTTGATTTCCATCACGACAGGGTTAAGAGCAGGAGGCATCAAGAACAGCTAGAAACAGTGGCCACAAATAATGTCCCAGCTCACTTTACAAGTTAATGAGTGCTCCTGGGCAATGAAAGAGTCCATCTAGCAATGAAATCCCATCCTGAGGGGGGGTGGGGGAAGCCTGGCTCCTGAAATTGAATACAGTGTAAATAAGAAGACAAAAATAGAGGCATATGCTCATTTGGCGGGACTCACTCGCTTTCTGGAGAAAGACACAAAATTCCAGTCTCTTTGGACACCATTATTACAGAACAAAGTCCCATCTACACCATGCATTTAAAGCACTTGCAGGTGGTGCTGTGGGTTAAACCACAGAGCCTAGGACTTGCCGATCAGAAGGTTAGCAGTTCGAATCCCCTCGACGGAGTGAGCTCCTGTTGCTCGGTCCCTGCTCCTGCCAACCTAGCAGTTCGAAAGCACGTCAAAGTGCAAGTAGATAAATAGGTACCGCTCCGGCAGGAAGGTAAATGGCGTTTCTGTGCGCTGCTCTGGTTCGCCAGAAGCAGCTCAGTCATGCTGGCCACATGACCCAGAAGCTGTATGCCGGCTCCCTCAACCAGTAAAGCGAGATGAGCACCGCAACCCCAGAGTCGGCCATGACTGGACCTAATGGTCAGGGGTCCCTTTACCTATACCACTTTAACAGTCATGGAGAATCCTGCAAACTACAGGTTTTTACAGGGCGCTGGGTATTGTATGTCTGTGAGGTCAGCTCCCATAGCGAACTATAGTTCACAAGATTCTTTGGGTGAAGCTGTGACTGTTGAAGCGGTACAAGACTTATTATTATTTATTGCATTGATTTCCCACCTTTTTCTCCAAGGAGTTAAAGTTGGTGTACATGGTTTTCCCATTCCTCATTTAATCCCCAAAACAATCGTGTGATGTAAGTGATGTTGGGAGGCAGTGTCTGGCCCAAAGGAACTTCCTGGTTGAAGGTTTTTTTGAACCCTGGTCCTTTAGGTCCTGGTTTGACACTAACCACTGCACCACACTGGCTCTGAAATTTATGTTTTGGGTGTGACCCAAAGTGTCAAGATCCTGGAGAACAGCTGAACTCTGAGGAAGCTCTGTATTATTTTTTTCCCTGATAGCAAAGTAGCAAAGTTTCACCCTAAAGGGATACTTTAAATGTTATTTTTAAACAGACATTTCTCCGAACATAGGTGAGCAAGTTTGTTTTCAAAGCAAGGACTTGCAAGTTTCTTACACTGGAGTAGATTCATTGCCTCTTCTTGGAGCTGGCAGGATTAGAACACAGAGCTCTGTGCAAAACTGCCAGTGAATCTACAGGTTAGAGGATGGGAACTTTTTTCAGCCTGAGGACTACATTCCCTTTGGAGCAACCTTCTGAGGGCTGTATGTCACTGTTGGGCAAGATCAGCTGCAAAAATGGGCAGAGCAACAAATGCAAATTTTGCTCTTTTACAGTAGGCTCCTTTACACACACACACACACACACACACACACACACACACACACCCTCTCTATCCTCCTCCCATACAAGCAAAAGGCATTACGGGTTCAAGGAAACATTCCAGCCAGCCAAAAACACTCCGGAAATGTGCAAATCACGGCTGAGGAGGGGTCTGGCTTGAGAGAATCCCAAGACAAGAAAGTTGGAGGGCCACATTCAGCTCCCAGCCACAAGGTTCCCCATCCCTGTCTTAAATATGCAGGGGGAAATAAAGCAGTCTCAGACAGGAGCCCTGGGTGAATCTCCTTGCACCAAATGCACACAGCCCCAACCTCAAGTGACCCTTGCCAGGCACAAGCCTTAAAACCCTATTTTATCAATTTTAGGTTTGTAAAGGGTTGCTGAAAATGGCAACTCTGTG